GTTAATAAGAATAGATAATTAAAAAAAATACTGGATTCCCAGAAGGCATTTCACTGTGAATTTAATTATGGAAAGTGATAATTGTATCACTCGAAGACTTGAAAGTTGTCCAATTGCTTCATGCACGAGTAAGGGACAGCTTTTCCTAAGTTAGCCTCAGTTCTAAACTAGTTCCAGAGATGCAGAATTGTCACTTGTAGCCACGGAAAGAAAGAGAATGCCAGTCCGTTGGCATGCTTGATCTCTTTCTTGGTCTTTGGCAAATTAATGTCTCTACGGCAGAAAGGAAATATACATTTTTAAATGTAGCTCCACAATTATCTACCTACTGTATGCTCTCACTATAGGGTTGTCACTAGCCCTTATGGCCTCTTCGTTACAGATTAGCCAAAAGCACCCTCTTTAGGTGAGCAGGTGGTTCTGCATCTGCATGGGTATGATTTGGCAACTGGAGCTTGGAATGAATTGTAGTTTCTATTCATGGCCATGGCTCTTTGTGCAGTGCACAAACTGCCCCACTGAACAAAGGCAGCCTGTCCTAGCTCAATCGCTTAAACTCTTTCTACTCCCCCCAGGAAGTGGCCTATCTTTATTTTTGAAAAGCACATGATCACTGCTTTGAAGATAGTTTCATCTGAGACTGCAGGCAGAGGGCCTAGAATATCTGAGGGCCTTGGATTAGGAGAGAGAAGGACACTTTGGAGAAACAGAGAGAAGAACCATGCGGCTAAGATTAGGCAACAAGGGAGATGAAGTTAGGAGACAAGATATAGAGATAGAGGTCATTCTTTAATCTCTAAAGGTCATTGGTGAGGGGCTTCTTCCTGAAAACAACAGGGCTCTATGACTGTTGTCAGCACTGAAGGGTTTAAACAGATCCAACTCCTTGCTCTGTAGAGAATAAATTGTAGGAAGCCTAGGGTGGCTTGGGCAAGAGTGATGTTGGAGAAGGAGGAGTGGATTTTAGAGATCTTTATAAAGTAGAATTACCCAGGAATGGGGATCAGTTGGGCTGGGGGCTGGGGGGTGAGTTCAAAGGTAGTAATAATTGCTTCCATGACACTTGGAGGTGCCAGGCACCATTCTAAGTGCTCTACACATATTAGTTGATTTAATCTGTGAATGAGGGACTATTCTTTTCCTCCCTTTATACACAAGAGGAACTTGAAGTGCAGAAAGATTAAGTATAACGTGCCCCACGTCCCACAGCAGAGTTGGGAAGTCAGGCCTGAGGGTCTGAGCTTTAAGTCCTTGCTGTAAACCAGTGGTCCTTACCTGGGGATGATTTTGCTGCTGAGGACATTTGGTCATATCTGCTGGCATTTGTGGCTGCCACAACTCCGGGATGGGTGTGGGGGGGTGTGGTCCACCTGTCCTCTAGAGGATGGGACGCCATGGCTACTGCCAAATTTCTTATATCACAGAACAGCCCCCACAAGAGAGGATGGTCCAGCCCCATCTGTCCAGTATCACCGAGGTGGGGAGCTCGAGCTCTGACCGCTGCGTTAACCTCTTGAGGATAGTGCCTGGGTTACATCTTAGACAGCTCATTTACCAAGACTAGGGGAAGACCAGTTCCAGGGGGACTATGGGTTGCTGTCTGGGTACACGCGGCTGAAGTCCTCAAAGACACCCAAGAAGAGGCCAGCTGAGGACACAGCAGGACAATGACCATCTATGAACCAGGAAGAGGGCTTTCAGCAGACACTAAATCACTAAATCTGCTGGCCTCTTGAACTTGGGGTTTCTCAGCCTCCAGAACTCTGAGAAAGAAGTATGCCTTGTTTAAAAGACAAAAACAACAACAAAAAAGGCCATCAAGAGAACGTGACAAAGAGATGGCTGGATGCCTGCTGAGATCTGACATTGGTGGAAATAAGTTTCTATTCCTGGCACCTGGACACACCCAGACTTTCTACATTTTATCTTGCAGTTGTTTGTTTAAACCCCGCCCTCTTCCAGAAAGGATGTAAAGCTGCTTACAAGGATAAGGAATAAACAATAGGCCATACAAGTTAAAAGCTGGACCAGAAGGCCAGGACACCAGGGCGAAGACGTGGGATGGAGCCAGCGGCAAGGCCTGAAAGGGCCCTGACCGGCTTTCTGGCGGTTGCAGGGTCATTAGTAGGATTTTACTGGCCTCGTGCCTCCCTGTCTCTGCTGGCCTCCCTGGCCAAGCATCGCCCCTCTCTGGCAGGTGGACCCTTAGTTGCAACTCTTGGCCTGTCTGTGGATGAGAAGAAAACTGGATATTCTTACTGTCTTTTAAATTCTTGCTACATAGTGGGAAAGCAATAAATAGTTGTTCAGAGAAACTCTGGAGATCCAGCTGTGAACAGGGCACAAATCTTCCCCTCCCGGGGCTGCCTTTCTAAGGGGGAGATCAACCCGAATGCAGGTGTTTGCTGCAGGCACTCATGGTTTGGTTTCTTTATCAATGCAATTCATACAATAGTGTCAAGGCATCATTTATGTTCTCACAAAAGGAGGAGTCAGGAAAGAAGCATGGGGACTGTGTCAGCATGGTGTGGTCGGCGGGGGAGGGGGGGACAGTTCTGAAGAGATGATGGAGTGTCGTGCCCTGAAGGAGCCCCATGCACAAAGTGGGTGTGGGGCGTTCCAGACCCAGGGAACAGCATGGGTGGATAGCCCTGCATGGAAAGAGCCTTGGCCTTGGAGAGACCCAAAGGGAGGCCCGAAGTGGGACAAGGGAGGTGAGGCTGGGAGGCAGAAAGGCAGCAAAATGTGTCAGGCTTTGGGAGACAGAGGAAAGGGTACAGGTTTTATTCCAAGTGTAGGAGGGAGCTATATGCAAGGACTATGGAGTAAAGACCCAACTTTCCCAGCCTCCTCCATAGATGCAGTCGTGTGACTGAAGCTGGCCACTAGAATGCAAGCTGAAGTGTATACCTTTGAAAGGAGGGAGTGGTCCCATCCTTGCTGCTCTATGGGATCCAGACTCAATGGCTGGAGCCCCAGCAGCATCTTGGACTTGGAGGCAACCTTGAAAATGGAGGCTAGGGATGGAGATGCCATGAGGTAGACAGTGCCTGGATTCTGACACCGTTGAGCTACCACACCAGTCTTGGGTAGCCTCGCGGTAGATCTTCTATGGGAAAGAGAGGTCTGTCTTATTGAAGACACGGTTCGGTTACTGTGTGAAGTGTCCATCACGGCTGAACCTAATCCTAACTGATGGAGGGTTGCAGTGGGGAAGGACACGGTTCTCTTTATCATGTAAGAAGTTCCTTTGGACTATTGGGTGGGGAGTAGACTACAAGGGAATAGCATGGAAGCAGGGAGATGGGACAGAGTCTGCTGCTCCTCTCCAGGCAAATGCGTGAATGAATGTATAGATGAATGAATGAACGGCCCAGTGCTGCCTGCTTTCTCATCTTCTCTGACGATCTGCTCTCCTTTGCCTTTCTGTTCCATTAGCTGGTGAGCCTTCCTTAAAAGTTACTTGGGCTGCTATAAGCAAATATCGTAGGCTCGATGATTTAAACAACGGACATTTATGTCTCCTAGTTCTGGAAACTGACAAGTCCAAGATCAAGGTAGATGCAGTTCTTGGTGAAGGCCCTGTTCCTCCATGGCCAAGAGAGTGAGCTCTCGTGTCACTTCCTCTTCTTAAAGGGGCACTCATCCCGTCATGGGGGCCCCACCTCTGAACCTCATCTAAACCTACCTACCTCTCATGGCCCCACCTCCAGATACGCTCACGCTGGGGATTAGGGCATTCCCCACAACAAGCCATTCTATAGCATCAGCTGAAAATCCTAAAATTTACCTCTATTCTGGCACTATCTACCCACAGATGGCGTCAGATCCCACAGAGTGAGGCTCCAGTCCACAAGGCTGCTCCCACCTCACTTCGGATGCCCCTGGTGAGGAGTAGGTCCCCAGGCTACTCACGACTTCTGTCCAGTGTGGCTACACATCAGAGATTTTCACCACCTCCTCCTCGGGCTGGATCCATTTGCCACAGCAGCTCACAGAACTCAGAAAAACGCTTGCTTAATTAAAGGGTGTGATAAAGGACATGGATGAACTGTAGGGGGTTACATGGGACAAGGTCTGGGAGGGTCCCAGGCACAAGAGCCTCTGTCCTCATGGAGCTGGGGCGCGTCGCCTCTCTGGTACATGGATGTGCTCACCAGCCAGAAAGTCCTCTGAACCTTGTACACTGGAGATTTTTACTTAGGCTTCCTCATGGAGGCAGATAGATCCGTCACTGCATTTTCAGCCCTTCTTCCTTCTCAGAAAAATGGGGGGGATGGGGCTGAAAATTCCCAGCTTCTGACCGTGGCTCGGTCTTTCTGGTGGCCAGCCCCCTTCCAGGAGCCCCACCCAGAGTCACCTCATTGGAACTAAAAGATGCTCCTTCCAGCAAGTTACAAGGGTTTCAAGAGCTCTGTGTCTGGAACAGGGTAAAAAGACCTGTATATATTTTCTGTTACCTCACAGGGTGCGCAAACATTAATTTCATAATGTAAGATGATTGTACTTCCCTCCTTTTCCCCTTCCTGATCCCCAAGTTCACCAGAAGGAAGAGACTGGGAATGTCCCAGCCAACCCCATCCCCCAACTCGTGCTTGAAGATTTTACCTTCCCTTCCCCAAAAGGAAAAAGTCCCCTCCAACAAGAGAAAGGAGGGGAAGGGGCCCTTCTTTGAGTATTAACCTTGAGAGGGTCCTTCAGGGCCACTGAATCCCCACTTTACAGATGGGCAAAATGATGCCCAGAAAGGGAAGGGACTTGCCCATGGCCACACAGTGTGTCAGTAGGATGGAAGTCATACAAGGTAGAAGCTGGAAGAGGGTGTAAAAACCATATACCTCCCCTCCCCCACATTTAGAGAAGGGGAAACCAAGGCTCAGAGCTGGGAGGTAGTGACAGCTAGGACAAGAGGACTAGAACTCGGGAGAGGATTACCATCATAGTGTGCAACCACGGCAGCCCCACAGAACCTGCACTTGGGTCTTCATGCTCTGTGCTCATGTCTGGAAATTCTCAGCTGATGTATCTTTAAATCTGTGTTTCATAAGTGAAATCTGTTGGGACAGCAGAGCCTGCACGGAGGGTTGGGAGACTCAGTGTGGCGCGTGTGAAATCCTGCCTCCCGCTGCCTGTCTGGGTAGGTTCTCAGTGCCCCCCTCCCCCGACATCGCACGCCTGGCCAGTCAGCTGCTCCCCACTCCCCTAGCCCCACTCCCCTAGCCCCATCCCCTCTACAACCAGCAGCAGGGGCCTGTGAATGAGGAGGGTTGGCGGGCATAGCTGCCAGCATCTTGGGGTAGGGCACCCTACAATCCCGGCCTGAGGTCGGCAGCCCCATCCATGGTGCATTCCTTGTGCAGCCCAGCGGGGCTGAGCCTCTTCCCCTGTCTGATTTGGGAACCCAGGGCATCCCATTAGGGAAGTTGCAATATTTGAGGTTGCCTGTCCATTGTGGGTTGGGGTAAAGGGCCTCTAGGGAAGTGGGGTGCCTCCCTCTACTTCCCTATATCCCCCAAGTACTTGGCAGTCATCAAGAGAGAGCCAGCAAAAAAAAAAAAAAATAAAAGCCTTATATTTTGGTACTTTTCATAGCAGCTCTTTGCTACTGTGTGAACAAGGGGCCCTGCATTTCTCTTTGCAATGGGACCACAGAGCACTGGGACCTCTAGTCAGGTGGCAGGTCCTGACTCGGGACTTTGATCGCTCCTTCCATCAGCTTTCAGCTCTGACTGGGCAGCGCTAGCTTTTTTTATGGTCAGCCTACTGTGCTCCAGGCCCCGTGCTCAGCACTTTTCCTCTATCATCTGTTTGGAGGCTTCCAAGAACGCAGTGGGGTGTGGACTCTTGTACCCATCAGATCTAACAGTACACAGCAGACTCATGTTAAAGGGGAAGAAGGGGAGGCACGGATAGGCTAAACATGCCTCAGTCCCACAGCTGATGAGCAGGTGAGGCAGACTTCCTATCCAGGCAGCTTGTCCCCTTGTCCCCTGCTCCGATCCGTGGGCAGTGGGGGTGGGAGAGGGAAGGCCCAGTGTCTAGGAACTAGCTCTGGCTGCCTCTCTTCCTGCCTGTGCAGGGCCCTGTGTTCCTTCCCCTCCCTCAGCAGGCTCACCCCGGGCCCTCCGAGGGGAGGAGACCACGTGGTCCAGATCAGTGTGTAACTAGGCAACCGTTCCAAGATGCTACTTTTCCTTCATGCTCCTTCTGCCTTATTCAGTATCTGCCAGGCAGGCAGGGCTCCCGGGAGCATCCAGAAAGACATCGTTAAGAAATAAGGCCGACTGGGGAGGTCTGCAGGGACATCTAATATTCATCTCTCTGAATCCTAAACCCCAAAGTCTTGAACGTGCCTGTTGAGGATTCTGAGAGAACGGTGGGAATCCAGATTGCCTGGGACCGGATCTTGATGGATAGGGTATGGGGAAGACGGGGGCAGGGGGCACCTGGTGTCATGGTACATTTGACCCTCAGCTGCTCTCCCCAATCCCCTTGTTTCCCCTGGACGGAGGTTCAGATACCTTGCTCTCAGAAATAGCTCAAAGCTTAGAAATCTGTCTTCTGCTCACGCAGCTCTTGCCACCTGCAGTCAGGTGCGAGGTGAAGGGCACAGCCAGGATATGTTGGGCTCCTGTTATATTCCCAGTGCCAGACACTAGGGAAAGAAAAATGAGCAAGTCACACCTCATTCCAATTTCACAGATGGGAACACAAAGGCTCAGACAGGTAGAAAGAAGCTGAATCTAGCTGATGACAACTTTTGTTCCTGCCTCTAGCAATGCTGCTTTTATGGGAACAAAGGGATGGAGGAGTCCTCTAGGTCAGGGTAAACCGATGAACTTGGAGGCAAAGGTTCTCTTCCCGGGCCACACAGCTTGCTTGGCCCCAAGGTCATCAGGAGTTACTTGAGCTGCTGGTGGATTTGGTAACTGCTGGGAGCTCCAAACCTTCCATTCTCGGAAGCCGGCTGCATTATGCGGGTGCTGACGTCAGCGTGCTGACGTCACTGTATCCAGTGCGGTCATTCACTGGTAGCGGCAGCATAATGGAGTAGAGACTGTTCCTGCCTCTTAAGAGTGAAGGATTGGGGACAATTATTTCATCTCTTTGGGTCTCAGTTTCCTTCTCTGTAAAATGGGGATGATAATGATACCTCATAGGATTCTTGTGAGGATTAAATCAGATCATTTGTGTCATGTGTTGAATGCAATGTTGAATATTATTTATGTCAAGCTTTTTAAAAAATATTTATTCGAGAGAGAAAGAGAGAGAACATGAGTGGAGGGAGAGGGGCAGAGGGAGAGAGAGAAACAGACTCCCTACTGAGCAGAGAGCCTAACATGGGGCTCGATCCGGGGACCCCGGGATCATGACCTGAGCCGAAGGCAGAAGCTTTAACCCACTGAGGAGGTGGACCAGGGTGGTCAGCTCTTCACGGAGCTCAGGGGATGAGGCTGAGACTCGCTGGCTATTCCCTGACCTTGACATCTAGGCTCTATTTTCCAGCTTCCCTTAGAGCCAAGAATGACCATGTGACTGAGTTCTGGCCCATGAATTGGGTACAAATGATGTGCACCTCTTGCAACTGTGACCCATCAAACTTGCCATGCATTGTCCCCTTGCCCAGCCATGATGAGGGGGAGGGGAAGTCTCTCTCCCCTCCCCCCACGTCGGAAGCACTGATTTAGGGCTTTCCCAGAGAGATGAACTTCTAGCATGGTAAGTCATTGAGTTTGAAGAGCGAGGTGGTTACCTGTTACAGCATCTAGTGTTACCTTAACTGATTTCCACCTGACGGCAGGTAGCCACAAGGGGAAGCTGAGTCCGCTGCCCCCTGGTGTTGCCTATGTAGGCCAAGGCAAGCTGTGCAGGAAGCAGGACCCGCCCCAGGTTCTGCCTTCCTCATTTCCTACCTGTGCTTTTCTTCCAAGGTCTCTGAGCAGCTACTTAAAAAAAAAAAAAAAAAAAAAAAAAAATCTTTAAAGTTGAGACACCCATCATTGCTTGATCATTCTCTTCTAAAGAGATTCTGGGAGAATCAGAGAGCTGGAAAGTAGGACAAGGGTTCTTTGATTTCAGCTCAGTTTTTTATTTTTGCCTTGGCTAAGAGTTTAGAGTTAAAAATTCCCTGAGGGAAGAGTTCTTCAATCTCTCCCTTTGCTGCCTGCCTCTCCTTCCTTCCCTCCCTCCTCTTAGGGAGAACTCGGAAGCAGGCAGTCTAGAATCCCAGCTGGTTCCACCACTTTTAGCATCTGACCTCAGCCCAGGGTCTCTTCCTCCCCGGGGTCTTCATCCCCACATCTGTAGACTGAAGATGATGCCATGTGCCTCGCCAGGTCCTTGTGGCTTAGAGATACAAGGTTAAAAGACCAACCTCAGGGGGAAAATGGCTTCTGCTTAAATTACTGTTACTTTTAAACCTTGAGCTCTCTGAATCTGTGTTTCTATTCAATTCCTCCCTCCCTGACCATATATGTAACAGGTGGTGAACCTGGACCGAGTCCTCACCTGCCAGCATACAACGTGCATCCTGGCAGAAAGCTGGATCTGATAGATGTGAGCAGACACATAATATAAATGCAAGTTATAACAAGTGCTATAAAGGAAATGAACAGGTTGCTGAGAAAGACAGTAAGAGGTGAGAAGGTGAAACCCATGATGAATGGGGCAGTCAGGAAAGTCTTCTCTGAGAAGGTGGCATTTCTAGGAACCTCAAAGACTAAGAGGCAGCCAGACAAGACAAGAGATGAGGTCAAGGAGGAGCCCTCTGGGCAGGAAGAATAGTTGGTACAAAAGTCTTTACATGCTCAGGGCACCTGGGTGGCTCAGTGGGTTAAAGCCTCTGCTTTTGGCTCAGGTCATGGTCCCAGGGTCCTGGGATGGAGCCCCGAATGGGGCTCTCTGCTCAGCAGGGAGCCTGCTTCCCCCCCCCCGCCCCCCGCTGCCTACCTCTCTGCTTACTTGTGATCTCTGTCTGTCAAATAAATAAAATCTTAAAAAAAAAAAAAGTCTTTACATGCTCAAGAGGCAGACAGGGGCCAGTGTGACTGGAGCAGAGGGAGGGAGGGGTCCCAAGCTAGGAGGGGCCACATCCTGCCTGGCAGGCCAACAGGATAGAAGGTGAATTTTTTAAACATATATCCAAGTGTAATGAGAAGTCATTTGAATAGGGAGCTTTTGTTCCAAGTTATATTTTTACAGTTCTGGTTCTCTAAGTGTGGTCCCCAGACCAGCAGCATCCGTATCACCTTGGAACCTGTGAGAATGGGAACTCCTCAGGGCCACCCCCAGACCTACTGAACAGAAACTCGAGGGTGGGGCTTAGCAGTCTGGGTTTGAACAAGCCTTCCAGGTGATGCTGATACTTGCGGTTGGGACAGGAAACTCAGTGGTTCTCCATCTTGGCTGCACAACAGAATCATCCAGGGGCTTTAATGAGCTATAAATGTATGAACTATATATGAACCAAGACTCCAAGACTCTGACGTTCTTAGTCTGGGGCTGGCACCCAGGCATTGGTAGTTCATTAAAGACCCCGCCCCCAGGGCATTCCAGTAGCTCTGTGGCTAGGAGCATGGGCTGGGCATGGAGAATGGGGACCTAACGAGGTACACCATCTCTATCTGCTTGGCAGTTAAGGCAGCAAAGATCACAGCCAAGTTAGCAAGTACTGAGTTTCTCCTGAGTGAAAGAACCTTTTTCTTTTTTTCCCTAATGCTCTGTTTTATAGCCAAGCTGCTCTTGGAGCACTGGGGATAGGCAGCAGCAGGGACCACCCGGCCGAGTGATGTATCCAGGAGTAACCAGCAGGGGGCGCGCCAGACTTGGAAATGGGCACTGCAGGGCCTACGGTGAATCTTGTGGTTTCCAACTTAACTGGGAGAAAGGGATTCATTCTGGAAATAATCATCATACTGCATCTATATACCTAAACAGCTACTATGTAGCCAATACTGTGCTAAGTGCTTTAGGTGTACAGTCTCATTTAATCCTTAGAGCTCTACAAGGCGGGTACTGTAAACATCCCCACTTTACATATACTCAGAGTAGACACGTGACTTGGCCAGTGTCACCCAGCTAGATGGTGGCACAACTCAGCTTGGTCTTGTAGCCTGTCTAACCCCGAAGGCATGTGGCCATTTCTCTGTCAGAAGGGCCAAAATCCCCTCCAGCTCTTTCTGATCTCTGATGGGGCTTTAACTCACTCTTGGGAGAGATACCTTTGGAAGGTGACATCACTGGAATGAGCAAAGCTTTTGAAATTAAACTCCCATGTTTCTGCAACTCACTTACTATGTAATGATGAGAAAGTTGCTTAGGTCTTTGTGCTCAACTTTCTTTATCCCTAAAATGGGGTGAGATGATGCTCAGTTAATGACAGCTTTTCTGTCTATAGCGGTTTCACAGGGGGTAGAAACAGCTCTGGCGTGTCTGAGAACTGTGTGGTCCAGCAGTGCTTTCTGTGATGATGGAAACGCTCTGTATCTCCGTTGTGCAATAGGGTAGCCTCTAGGCACATGTGCTCCTGGGCCGCTGACGTGCTGCTAATGCAAAATTCAAGGGCTGACCTTTTCATTTTATTTAACTATAATAAATTTAAATAAACACATGTGGCTGGTGGCTACTGTGTTGGATGATGCGGGTCTAAAACATGTCTGAGCTTAAGATCTATGTATCCTCAGGAACCCCTTGGGTGTTGGATAAAATAAGCCATGTTCAACCTTTAGAACCTGGCAAACAGCAAATGCTGGGTGAATGGGAGTTTGCCGGAAAGCAAGAAAGGGGGAAAGAAAATCAACCAGCAAAGCCGTGTTCTGCATTTGACAAATTTTGTTAAATTGTGGGGCTGAGCTCTCAGACTTCCTCACGGCAAATCTCCCAGTCAAGCCAGAACTCCTTAGACATTTCTTCAAGATGGATTTAGTGGGGATAAAGAAAAAAACCCACGTTCTAGTTAATAATGTGTATATTCAAAATGAATTCTCTTCATGTCTTCTCTGATTAAAGAAATACTTTTTCTCTTTTTTATGCCCATCACTTCAGTTTTCTCTTGCAGTATTAAAAACCAGACAGCTGGGGTGCCTGGGTGGCTCAATGGGTTAAAGTCTCTGCCTTTGGCTCAGGTCATGATCCCAGGGTCCTGGGATTGAGCCCCGCATTGGGCTCTCTGCTCTGCAGGGAGCCTGCTTCCTCCTCTCTCTCTGCCTGCTTCTCTGCCTACTTATGATCTCCATCTGTCAAATAAATAAATAAAATATTTTTAAAAAATAAAATCAGACAACTTTGAGGCACCCGGGTAAATAACTGACTCTTGGTTTCGGCTCAGGTTATGATCTCAGGGTCATGAGTTCAAGCCCGGTGACCGGCTCCAAGGTCAGCACAAAGTCTGCTTGAGATTCTCTTCCTCTCCCTCTGGCCCTCTCCATCTCTTTCTCTCAAATAAATAAATGAATCTTAAAAAAAAAAAAAACTTCTTAGGAAGTTCTTTTAAAGGCTTAAAATGTCAATTAAATAACTGGTGTCCAGGAAACAAGACTACGTCACACACTTCTCGGTTCTAAAATTTCACTTGTCTGGCCTTTGCCTTTAAATAGTGGTCATTTGGCAAATCCCAGGATTCAGTGGTCATGCCTCACAGCTCATACAAGGTA